GAGGCAGAGGTGCCTCATGGAGATGACGGCTTCGAGGTCCTCGAGGGCTGGCCGGCCGAGGATGATGTTGTGGGCGCAGTCGATGTTGACGACGACAAACTCCACGTCGAGCTTGGCCCTATGGAGCCCGTCGCCGAATAGTACCGGGAGGTTTATAACCCCTCGGAATCAATGGTGTCGCCGGTGAATCCGGCAAGGGGGGTCTTGATGGGCCGAAGGGACCCCTCTCCAGATGCAGCTCTCTGAAGGTGCTGAGGTACATTACATTGACGGAGCTGCCCGTGTCAATGTAAGTTCTGTGAATAATAGTGTCATTGATCTCTGTACGGATGACGAGGGCATCCCTGTGTGGGGAGGACACCGGGGGGAGATCAGAGTTGGTGAAGATAATGGGTTCCTCCCTCAGTCGCTTTACTGGGGGCATATAAGTGACTTCCCCCATGTAAAGTGACTGAGCCCACTTCTTTCGTTGACTCGTAGAATCACCCCCGGTATTGCCCCCGGTGATCATGAGGATGTGGCGCTTCTTTTCTTGATACCGGGGGTACTCCTCCTCCTCCTCTTCCAGGTTCCCAATTTCCCTCTTTTTACCGAGGGGGATGGTGTTGGGGTTGACCCATGCATTTGTTCTCGCAGTCTGCCCTCGGGTTGGCCCTTGGTGAGGAGTGCCCTATTGATGAGGGCCCTGGATAAACTGGGACAGATGGCCCGCTTGTATCAATCTTTCGATGGCCGCCTTCAGCTGATGGCAATCATCGGTCCTGTGCCCCTGGTGTCGGTGGAAACGACAGTAGGGGTAGTTTGGATTGATGGCGAATACTTCCGGGGGTGCGCGTGAATCTCGCTCCACTAGGCCCCTCTCCTCAGCAAAATCAAGAATGACGCTGACGGGGTGCGTCAAAGGTGTCCGAGGGTGCTCCAGGAGGACAGGCTGTGCCCAAGCCCTCGGGTTCCCCTTGTAGCCTCCTCCGGGCTTGGCTTGGCCATGCCGGGGGCGATCACCGGAGGGGCAGAATCCTTGGGATGATTGCGGGGAGCCCCTGGCCCCCGGTTACCTTTGTCGTCTGGCCGAGGGCGTTGCTGATCTGGGACATGGTGGCATTTCTCCACCTCCTCGGCTTCGGCGTACCGGTCCCCCCGCTGTAGGGCCCTTATATAATCGCGCGGGGGGGGGGGGGGGGGGGGTTCGACGATGAGGCTCCTCGAGAAGTTCTCGGGGCGGAGTACTGTTTGGAGGAGGGCCAGGAGGGTCCCGTCGTCAGCGCCATCAACTTTATAAGCCTCCGTTCTCCAGCGCTCCAGGAAGTCCCGAAGGGTCTCCTCCTTCCTCTGCCTCACTGTTAGCAAGTGGGAGAAGTGTTTTCTTGTGCGGCGCCTTCCCGCAAATTGCGTCAAGAATCGCTGGGCGAGTTCTTGCCATGAGTCAATGCAGCCCTCGGGCAATCGATTGAACCATTCGTAAGCTGGCCCCTCTAAGGTGGAGAGGAACCAGCGGCACAAATATTCATCCGATGCCCCCACCATCATCATGCTGTTTTGATACCTGTTGTAGTGCTCTTGGGGGTCAGTCTTTCCGTCATAGGGCTTGATGAGCTGCCCTTGGTATTTTTCCGGGATACGGGCCGCCAATACCCTTGGGGTGAACGACGTCCGGGATCGGAGCTGTATCGTGGGTTCCCTGGAGCCCTCAACTATCTTCTTCTGCATTTCTTCCATCTTGGCCATCATCGCCTCATACTTGAGGTCTGTATGAGGGGCAGAAGTGGTGGCGTGGGCTTTGGCGGCCTCCATCTCATCAAGCCGGCGGTGGAGGGCCGCAATGATTTCGTCCTGGGGGTCCTTTGGGAGAGCCTCCGCCCCCTGCGAATGGACCCGGGCCGAGTGGGCCTGGTTGATTTGGTGGCGGGCGTCGTTGGCATGGAGAGGTGCCTTGCCTTTGTCCTGAGGGGGACGCCTTTCATTGGCCCTGGAGACGGACCCGCCACTTTCCTGAGGCCTTTGGAACGCCTTCCCCCCGAGGCGGTCTTGGACCCCTCGGCGGTCTTGCGCCCCTCCGAGTCTCTCGAGGGCGGAGGTCCGGAGTTGTTCCTTGTTTACATTGTGGCGGTCCCGGGACTGGACTTCCTGGGAGGCCGTATCCTGGGCCACGACCCCCTCAGAGTTCCCCATCCGGAGGACCGGGTTACCGAGGGGTCGTGGATGAGGGGGAGACATAATATTCTCCCCCACCTGAGGTTGGAGGGGAACCAAAGTGCCGAAGGCACCCGGGTTCTGAGTGAGCGTCTGGATGAAGGCTGAGAGCGCCGATTGCACGTCGATTGTGATGACCGGAGGGCTAATTTGATTCTCGCTCCGGTCCTTCTTCTTGGCCTCGATGCCGAGGCGGGCATCGAGGGCATTTTGTTGAATCTGCTGGCATAGGTCGAGAGCCGTCTGGTCCAACCCGGCGATGACGCCGCCCCCGGGAGCCCTGTTAGAGGCTTCGGGGACGTCGACCTCGCCGAGGGCCAGGTTCCTGTCCTCTACATTCTTGGAGTTGGCACGAGTTGTTCTCACCATTTCAGCTAGGTGTTTTGTGTTTGGTCGAGGGGGAGGGTTTCTTACTTGATTGTTCGACCTCTCAACGAGAGCACCAAATGATGGATAGTGTACCCGGGGGGTAGCTTATCCGAGGGGTTATTGCGGAGAATAACTAGAGAAGTCAGAGCAAATAAGTAAGAGAGAGAGTGTATTAGAAATGTGTTCATCGTTTTTTGCCTGGTTTACAACGGGGAAATGGGGTGCTATTTATAGTAGCAATAAATGCCAGACAGGGACACGTGTCAAGCATCCATTGGTCGAGGGGTCGCCTCAACTGGTTGGCGCAGGCAAACGCATGTGGCCGCATTTAATGCGGCTGTTGGATGTGACGTCGTACTTGGTACGGTGATCCATACGCATGTGGAGCGGATATTATGTCGGAAAAGGTGCCCTCAGCTGTAGAGGACCAGCCGAGGGCTCTGAGTATCAGGGACCTCCTTAATGCCGAGGGCTCTAGGTGCCGAGGGCTACTGATTTTCGCCGTTTTCTCCCAGTAACTTCGTTTTCCTGTTTTGACCCTTCTGTGAGGTTTAGAGCCTTCGGCCAGGGGGCCGAAGGCACCCCTGGTGCGCATTGTGGGCTGCTTGGTACCTTGGGCGCCGTGATTTGGGCCTGTTGTGCTTCCTGGGCCTATTGGACCTTTATTGGAGTAGTAAGAGTCTGTGGGCCGGGGGTTCCCGGGCCATATACTCCATCATTTGCTTTGTATTGATGAATTCTGAACCCTTACAACTACTCCTAGAGGGAGTATTTATAGGAAAAATTAGGGCTGAACTCCCAAGTCTTGGGCGTGGGAGGCACATTTACAATAGGGCCACTAATGGACCGGATACAAAGTACATAGAAAAGATTAAGTATAAGACCCTATTCTGGAGACCACCTATGACCGATGAGGGCACGGCCGACGAGGGCGTGGTCGACGAAAACCCGGCCGACGAGGTCACCCGGCTCTTCCTCGCTTCTGGATCACGAACTTAGTAGACTTCTTTCTGGCCGATAAGGGTCTTCTGGCCGACGAGGTTCCCACCAGGTGGTCATGGTACCTTCTGTTCTTCCGAGTATGTGGGCCCTGGGGTCCAGGCCCATATACTCCATCATCAATGTTATCAAACGGGTACTAAAAAATACTATCGTCCATTAATATTTTGTCAAGTTTATCAGTCAGGGAATTAATAAAATAAAGATGTATGATTGATATTTGTATCGATGAGAGTGAATTAACAGGAATAAAAAATTCTTTATTTTAAAAAAACAAAATTAGTACAAGGAAAAACAAATGTTGGACAAATTTTCAAGAGTATCATTTATAAGGAAAATTCTACGGTGCACTCCTAATTTTTGAGTGCACCGGTACACATATTTTCTTATCCAATCACATTGTAGTATTGTGTTACTAAATATGATTAATGACTTGTAGTGAGGATTGAGTTATTAGCCTAAATATGATTGAATTGTTTCTTAAATTTCTAAATAGGACTATGTATATTTTTATTTTTTAAATAGGACTTTTATACCATATTTGTCCTTCCTAATATAAATAAGGTATAAATATTTTTTTAGTCTCTACAAATATAGTATCCCTGCAAAATAATTTTTTTGTTTTTCATTTCTAAAATGTATGTTAGTTTTTCTTTTAGTCTACCGCTGATGATAATAATGGAATTTAATACGTATTTTAAAAATGTGAGTAATTAGTTTTTATTTTTTTAACTCTCATATTTTCCTCAAAAAATTTATAGGGATGAATTTTTTTAGTGATATACTAAAAACCAAATAATGCATAATACAAGGATGAAAAACATAAAAAAAATATTTTGCAGGGACTTAAATCATATTTAAACCTATAAACAATTGCCCCATAGTTCCCTGTGTCAGTGTAGGCCACGTCGGTCGTCGGATCTTTAGTGCCGGCGGCCGACGTGGCCAGATCTGGTCAGATGCACGGTGGTGGTTCATGGCAAGATGTGCAATGTCGGTGGTCAGATCGGTGACGCCCAGATCTGACCAGATGTACGGAGGCGGCCAGATGTGTAGCGCCGGCTGCCAGCGGTCAACAACGATGTTCGGCTGCATTAAGTTTTGTCAAACTTCAAGGGGTACTTTAGTACTCCTGTCCAACTACAAATAATAATTCCTATTTAGAATACTTTTAAACTTTGCACATACTTTGACAATTAAATATTTATTTATTCCTATTTAAATAAATCTCCTTTGACGATTTTGTTCTGTTTAACCTTTTTTTTCTAATCCGATGAAGGGTCCAAATGCAAAAATGTCAAATTATTATGTTTAGTTAATAAGGATATTAGGTGGCGTAAGATTAAGATATAATGGGATGTGTGGTCAAAAAGGATGTGTACCAAAACACACCAAATCAAGGAGTGCACAGTAGAAGCCCCTTATATAGGTAATTGACCGAAAATCACATGCCCAAGATCTGGAATAACCTAACCCTATTACTGGTGCACCAATTCATCCGATCTACCATCTCAGCCAGACGGTCTTGCGCTATATCGTTCTCTCCGTTTCCAGCTCCACTGGTCGGACGCCGTTCGTCTAATATCAAACCCGAGGTTAGTCGATTATTACTGACTGTCTTCTTATCTCATCGCATCTTGTTTTGTTTGTTCGTACATATCTTTTTGTTCGCCGCTCCAGGCCTTCTTCCCCTAAATCCATTCTTGTTCGCCGCTCCTGGTATTCGAATGTACTCCTTTCCTTTTGTTGCTCGATCCTCTGTAATCTCCACAGATGGAAAGTTTCCATCTGTGCGCTTGTGAGCTTGACCTATTTATTTCTCTTGTGCTCTGCGGCTGGACTAGCGACCGAAAAAACAGAAAACCCTCTTCTCCCTTTCGCAGCCCCTCGGTGCAGAAGCTTTGGCCGGACCGATTGATGGTTGTTGCCACATGCCGTAGCGGGAGGTACCCGCAGACCTGCTGCCGGAGCCCAACAGCCGTCCAGAAGTTCTAACACTATCAGTAGTGCATATACCAAGCTCAGAGGGTGTTGTTGAGGTTCATTCTTTATCTGTTATTTCAGTTAAACGATGAATAATTTTCTAAAGTAGTTGTAATAACTAATAAGCCAGGGGCGAGCTAGGGTAAAATTCGCGTTTCCGAAACGTTTCCGGGACGGAAACACCCCCTGCCCGGCGTTTCCGTGCTTCCTAGGTCAGGGTGGGCCGAATTTAAACTAAAAATGATATTGTGAAATCTAATTTTCTAAACAATGTACATAGTACCCGGATTAAATCCAAATGTATTGAAAAAATTATTACTTTTCAAAATCTAGTCATTTAGCTAAAAGCCTAAAACTAACTTCTCGTAATAATAGTAATAATATAATATTCACAGTTCACACTGATATTCAACAACCACATATAGGTAGTAAAGCACAAAAAATGGTCAAAACTGTAAAATATTAAGCTTGTGAAAGATATAATTTGTAATAAACATAATAAAAACATAAAAATACCCGAAGTCCTAAACACAGAAAGATCTATTAAATTTTAAATCTTTTACAATGATTTACCAAGACAGAATAATATTAGAAGTTTGAATTTATTTTTTACTTGATTTCTTTAATTTTCTCTCTTTTGTAGACTAGGACGTTTGGTTGCTATAATGCTATTCGAAGTCAATAATTTGGCTGGAAAGCTTACGCTTAAGACTCCACTATGGTGCTTTAACGTATAGATTTTTTTAAATATTTCCTAAAGGGTTTATTGCAATCTGCACTTGCCCAGGGCCCAGTAAAGCCCTCCCCTACCTCCGCCAGTGTAAATAAGCTGTAATGTAATGACCAACCTATATGCCAGCAGTGTTGCCTTAGTATGGAGGAGAGCCAACATTCTGCAGATTAACTGTGAGCACGTCAGCACGTGTCACATAATCCCGTGATGACATCATGAAGATGTCATAGTGACGTCATCATTTTCAGACGGGAACAATTATCCCAGGCAGTCCAGCTTTTATATATATAGAGATTTCTGTATTTTAGTTATTATTATTATTATTATTATCCATTACATTAACAAGTTTGTGTTTTCAGCTGTTTTTTTATTGCTTTTCCAAAAGGAAATTCATGAAGAGATTCTGGATTGATGCACATAATTTTTTATCTTCTAAAAGACTGAATTTAGTTATTGGTTAACTAAAATCGTCCCACTATAATTGTCTCATTTTTCCTTTTCCGTCCGTCCCACTAAATTTGTCTCATACCATATTTGGTAATGTTTGTGTGGCTCTCAAGGTTTAAAAAGGTGGGGTCGGGTATCAAGGCGGTTTGTTCCTAAAGGCGAGGTGTAAGCCTCAAAATAGATAGACATATAAAACTTAAAATAGTTAAACTAGTAACAAAAAACTAAAGAAGTAAAGGATATATCCATATGAGCTATTACTGGTAAGTGTGAAGTCAAAAAAGTGTGAAACACAAATGCATGAGCTAATACCAGTAAGTCATTAGAATTCAAACACACCAACAGAAACACCACACAGAAAGAGACATATCACACACAGAAACATCACACACAAACTGAAAGATGAATATCTCTAGAAAGTATACGTTAAGGACTTAGGGTTTAAATGAATAAAAGACTTGTTAGGGTTTAAATGAAATAAGACTTGTTAGGGTTTAAATGAAATAAGACTTGTTAGGGTTTAGTGCGGCAACATGTTTAATTAATGGACATCTATTTAAAAAGTACTTTGGGCCTTTTATTAAATGAAATGCCTTGGGCCTTTTTTAAGTTGCTGTACATTAAAAACAGAGAAACAAATGAAAAACGCCTCAAGGCACGCCTTAAGGCGTAAGCCTCAACTTTTGAGGCATAAGCCTCTTAACCTGCGAAAAAACCTAAGCCCTGATACCCAATCTGTACGCCTCACCTTGAGGCGTGCCTCAAAACCCCTCTTAAGCGCCTTTTTAAACCACGGTGGCTCTAATTTATTCTTACTTTATTCTCACTTTATCAATTCATTATAAACCACATAACTCTACTTTTCTTAAAAATCGCACCACTCTCCTTTTTCCCAATCTTAGGGGGACGAAGGTAGTAGCTATCATTATTGCTATAGTTAGAGTTTTGCAGTAAATAATGTACTGCTCATTTTACACTTAATGTTCTGTTCCCAAAAGAATTACTACATTTAAAATTTAACCAGTTGTGATGTTTAACATATATTCTTTTTGATGTTTTTATCTCAGAATCTGAAAGTTAAAATGGGGAAGAAGAAATCTGATGAGATTGGAGCAGTTAAGGGTAAGGGGAGTGGGAAAGATTCTTCCAAAGAAGTAAAAAAAGAGAAGATTTCGGTCTCTGCAATGCTGGCTAGTATGGATCAGAAACCAGATAAGCCCAAGAAAGCTTCTTCTTCTAGAACTTCTAAACAAGCTCCAAAAGTTTCGTCTTACACAGATGGCATCGATCTTCCTCCTTCCGATGATGATGAAGATGATATGGTTGGTGTGGGCCCAGCAGAAGTTGAAGCACTACATGATGATGGTAAGCATGCTGTCAGGGGGCGTAACAGAAATGATGCTGATAGTTCCCTTGATGTCTCGATAACAGACAAAGATTTAAAGAAGCGGGAAAAGAAAGACATGCTGGCTGCCCATGCTGTTGAGCTGGCGAAGCGAGAGGCTCTCAAGGATGACCATGACGCCTTCACTGTTGTTATCGGAAGCCGGACTTCAGTTCTTGACGGTCAAGATGACGCGGATGCTAACGTCAAGGACATCTCGGTAGACGGTTTTTCTGTTTCGGCTCGGGGAAAAGAGCTCTTAAAGAACACATCCGTGACAATATCTCATGGTAGACGATACGGACTGGTGGGACCCAATGGAAAGGGGAAGTCCACCCTATTAAAGCTGCTTGCTTGGCGAAAGATTCCTGTTCCGAAAAACATTGATGTCCTTTTGGTCGAACAGGAGGTGGTTGGTGATGACAAAACTGCTCTTGAAGCAGTCGTTTCAGCTAATGAAGAACTCATCAAGACCCGCCAAGAGGTTCAGAATCTATCCGCTTCTGTAGGTGACAATGAAGAAGATGACGATGTGGCTAATGACGTGGGAGAGAAACTTGCTGAGTTGTATGATAAACTGCAGATAATGGGCTCTGATGCTGCTGAGGCCCAAGCATCTAAAATTCTTGCCGGGTTGGGTTTCACAAAGGAAATGCAGGGACGCCCAACACGGTCGTTTAGTGGTGGGTGGAGGATGAGAATCTCACTTGCTCGAGCACTCTTTGTTCAGCCCACCCTATTGCTTTTGGATGAACCTACCAACCATCTTGACCTTCGGGCGGTCCTTTGGCTTGAGGAATATTTATTCAGGTGGAAGAAAACTCTTGTTGTTGTCTCCCATGACCGTGATTTTCTCAACACTGTCTGCACCGACATCATTCACCTCCATGACATGAAGCTCCATTACTACCGTGGTAACTTTTCTGTTTTTGAAGGTGGGTATGATAACAGACGCAAAGAGGCGACAAAAAAGTTTGAGGCATATGAGAAGGCGATGAGGATTGCAAAGAAATCCGGGAATCGTGTACAGCAGGAGAAGGTCAGGGACCGTGCCAAATTTGCTGCCGTAAAAGAATCTAAGAAAAAGTCAAAGGTTGATGAGGAGGATGAGCCTGTACCTGAGGCCCCACATAAATGGAAGGACTATACTGTAGAGTTTCACTTTCCTGAGCCCACTGAACTCACCCCCCCACTATTGCAGTTGATTGAAGTCAGCTTTTCCTATCCAAACCGACCTGACTTCAGGCTCTGTAATGTGGATGTGGGAATCGATATGGGGACCCGGGTTGCCATTGTGGGTCCGAACGGTGCTGGAAAATCTACTCTGCTCAATCTTCTTGCTGGCGACTTGGTCCCATCTGAGGGTGAGGTCCGGAGGAGTCAGAAATTGAGAATCGGACGGTATTCACAACATTTTGTTGATTTGTTAACGATGGATGAAACACCGGTGCAGTACCTTCTCCGTCTGCATCCGGACCAAACAGGTCCCAGCAAGCAAGAGGCAGTCCGTGCGAAGCTCGGGAAGTTTGGTCTCCCGAGCCACAACCACCTGACACCCATTGCCAAGCTATCCGGAGGACAGAAGTCACGGGTCGTCTTCACCTCAATCTCCATGTCGAAACCACACATCCTGCTGTTGGATGAACCTACAAACCATCTGGACATGCAAAGCATTGATGCGCTGGCGGTTGCGCTTGATGAGTTCACTGGTGGGGTCGTGCTGGTGAGTCATGACTCAAGGCTGATATCGCGTGTCTGTGAGGATGAGGAAGTGAGTGAGATTTGGGTGGTAGAGGATGGAACCGTGACTCCATTCCAAGGAACCTTTAGTGAGTACAAGGAAGATCTACAAAGGGAAATCCGAGCCGAGGTTGATGAGTGATAATAATGAATCCTTTCTCTCCTCCCCCCTCATGATAGTTGTTGCTCTTATTATTATTATTATTAGTATTATTAGTATTATTATTATTATTATTATTATTATTATTATTATTCTGGTGAGTAATCATTTTTGTGTTGCGAATATACAAAACATATATGAACTTTACTAGGCTGCACTTTGTAAAACACTGCAGTTTGCATGCTGATGATTTATAAAGGTTTTCTGAAGTTTGTCATTTGGTGTGACCTCTTCATGAGTGCTCTTCATTTTTGGGTTTAATCCTAGTAGCGGTGGACCTGTGCTGGATCCGGTACTGGACCAACCGTTCCCCAGTTACTGGAACCTACCGTTCTGAGTCACTTCCGGTAAAAACTGGAACCAGTTTGTACTGACAACTGAGTACATCTCCAGCGTACTGTGAGAGGTCTGACTTCTGAGGTTGGTTACAAAAGCATCCTGGTTTATGTCCTGCAATTGGGAGCGGACTGTCTGGTTTCAAACTGGGCGGTTCAGCTCATAATGGGCTGAACTTTTCAAAATTCAATCAAGGCCTGTTTGGTAATGGCTGAAAAGGCTGAAAAGATTGAAATTCTGAAGTAAAAATGTTTGGTAAAATATTGGCTGAATTGACTGATTGAATGTGTAATTACTATAAGGGTATTATTTTTGTGTATTAAAATACTGCACATTACCAACAACACATATCAAATGCAAGGAAGAGCGAGAAGAAAAATAAAAAATCACCCTGGTGCAGTCCACAAACAACAGAAAGAACACTTGGGTAGGGAATAAATAAATAAAAAAATCTATTCATAACCCAGAAAGCCCCAACCAAATTGGTGGAGTAATTAAGGGCTTAACAATCGTTACCAATTTTATTTTTAAAATCAAAGATACAAACCAAATCCTAATACAAGACATATGCTCTACTTACCAAACTAGTTGCAGGATAGAGAGAAAAAAATAGCAAAAATGAAGAAGAGATGAAGAGAGCTTGCCATCAAGATCGAATATGGAGTTGAGGAAAAAATTCCGAATGCAGTAGATAAGGATAGAGTTGTCTCTTTAACCTCTAACAGTACAAAAATAAAAATAAGCTCAAAAAGTAACTCCCAAGTTACTTTATTGGTTGATAATAGAAAACAGCCAAAGCAGCCATTTTGTCTCCTCCAAACACCCTCTCAATAATTACAAAATAAACATGTTTGGATGAAAAAGAAGGGCTGAATAGAAACGTTAAGAAACATGGCGTCTCTCTTTGATCGTATAATCTACCCCCGTTCCTAAAATGTCCTGTTTCGTCATTGCACGTGTCATCATCCTCTTCTCTGCAAAATTCTTCGTTTGGTTTTTTCACCATGCAAATTTATTCTTTTATGTGGTTGTTTGCTTATTATCGCTTCTATGAATTTATTCTAATGCTAATCATCTATTCGGTGCAACCGATTTATTTTCTTCACCTTGACAATCCTCGTACTGGGGTAAGGTATAAGTTTTAATTCTATCCAAGAGTAATATGTAAGCTGATACTCTTTTGATGATTTTTGTTGGATACACATAGGAAAATAAAGATTGTTTATCAGGTAATAATTGAAAATATTTTGTTTGGGATTGTATTGTGGATGAGGTTTCTTTCATACAGAGTATTTGAGCGAGTGTATGGTGAAAATACCATATGTTATTGTTTTTCCTATCTTTCTGTTTTTTAAAAGGTAGTATTTCATTCGCAATAGATAATAGTTACATGGTTATAGGAGGAAATTAGGCATATACGAAATAGGAATTCAGCAAGAAAGGGAATGGAATAATCATTAAACTCTAGATTCTGATGAATGTGGGTTGCACATCCCCATTTGATTGTAAAAAAGTGAAGAAGCAAGTGAAGGGTAAGTTGGACAAGATGAAATAGGCTGAGAAGAAAAGCCATACATTTACAGAAGGCTTTTACCATGTTGTGCAGCTATTATTCTCAACCTGGAAAAGAAGAAATAGACGACAAAGAAGGAAGAACACGATCGGCTTGATGAAGGAGTAAGGTGTTGTAATTGCTGAAGCAGTTTCCGTTTATGTTGTCGAGGTTTCAAATGAGGTATTTATGCCAAAGGACGTCGGGAATTTGAGCGCAGTTGGAAGGATATCAGGATTCTGTCTTCAATGTCACCAGAAAACCTTTTTCACACTTTAAACATCTCATAAAAACCAACCTTATAAGATTGTTTTAGAAGCTTTGACAGTTCATGTCCTGAGAATTATGTTAGTGCATTTTATATGTGACATCGCACCCAGATGTACTTAAATTTAAAATGCAGTAGGTATTTGATTTTTCGCGCAAAGTAATGGGGGACGATCGTCCCCACAATCTTGTCTCCTGTGTACTGCTTGCTCCCAAGGCGAAGGTTTCGTACGTACGTCTTGCAATTGGGCCTTGTGGTCGATTGGAGACGTACGTCCCCTGAAGCAGGGGGAAGCATCCCCGTCCTTGAAGACGTTCGTCTCGCAATTGGAGCTGTGGCCGGTTGGAGACATACGTCCCCTGAAGCAGGGGGCAGCATCTCCAGTCCTTAAAGACGTCTGTCTCGCAATCGGGCCTGTGGCCGGTTGGAGACGTATGTCCCCTGAAGCAAGGGGGTAACATCTCCAGTCCTTGAAGACGTCCGTCTTGCAATGGGTCTTGCTGACCTGTTGTAGACGTACGTCCCTAGAAGTAAGGGGAAGGCATCTCCCGCTACCCGTCCTTGGAGACGTACGTCCCCTGAAGTATGGGAAAGGTGCCTCCAGCTGCCCAAGCCCTTGGAGACGTTCGTCTTGCAATTTGGCCTTGCTGGCCTGATTGGAGACGTACGTCCCCAGAAGTAGGGAAAGACGTACGTTGTCACCGCTTACTGCCATTTCGGTGCAGGAGACGAACGTCGTCATTGCCTTTGACCACTCTGAGGGTATTTGTCCCCAGACTGTTGGGGCTCTTAGGATATCCTCAGGGGTTAATGGGCCATTCCTATTTGGGCCAACCGAGTTGGTAAAAATGTTTGGGCAACCCAAGTGCTAAGTTGACCCGATAAAATAACATATAATTAAAATTGTCCAGAAAATACAACTTTCAGAACCAAGTATACACTTCGAGACATATTGGGATGACCTCCCACATGGGTGGGGACCAACCCACATTTTAGCCTTGCAAAGATCAAGGGGAGCCGCTCTTTGCAAACACGTTTTAGCCTTGCATAGGTGCATGTGAAGCAAAAAAGAATTGACTTGGGGAGACAAATCAATTAAATGGAGTGAGATCTATTCATCACATTATTGTGAGAAATGCCAAAAAGTCATTCTCAATCATCCCTCCAACTAAGAGCTCGACCAACCTTACAATTTTTGAGAGAGAAGCTCTGCAAAAATTCATCTTCCATAGCCAAACTCGAGCCCAAGCTCAAACAAGAAAAAGGAAGAAGTTTGAAGAAGGAAAAAGATAGGAAAAGTGTGAAGAATTAAGGTAATGACCTTATAGTAACTTTGCTTCTACTTCTTATCTACCTTATGAATTATATATCATATGGAGGACCCGTATGATTGTTCTACATATTTAGAAGTGTAGAACAAGGGGTTGGAAGGTAGTTCTAAATCCAAGAACGGACTTAGAAGCAAAAGTGACCGGTTCGCCGGAAAATAACCGTTTAGAGGTTATTTGTGTTGATATGGGTTTTGTGATGATAAAATCTTGTTAGGAGCTTGACTAAGTGTTCCTAGTGGTCACTGGAGTTTTGACAGAGTTTTGCCGGAGTTCGCCGGAGTTTCGTTGGAGTTCAACCGAGAAGGGTAAAATTTCTTAAAGCTCATTTGAGGTGAGGATGACTGACTATATTGCTTATAATTAGTGAGTTAATTTCATAAGATTACCTAAGGTAGTTAAATGTGAATTTCATGGATTATTAATGATTAAAAATGCCTAAATGAAAATACTATTGTTTATGAGTAAATGAGGTATGATATACAAATTTGGAAGAAATTGTGTATGATTATGAGATATGAAAGTGATGGCATGATAATGGAATTAACCATGAAAATATTGTGATAAAATATACTTTTACTTCATGTATAGAATTAATGAATGGATAAAAGTGATTTTTTTGATAATGAGACTAAAGTATATTTGGATTGGAAAATCAATTGAGATGAACAATAGGACCATGAATTAGGAACTTGGTTGTTCCAAGATTAACTAACTAGTATTGAAATACTAGTCGGAATGTTAGTATGAAAAATGATAGAATTAATCCAATTGTATCGGATTGTGAGAAGTCATACACTCATACCCTAGGTAATCTCAAGAGATACCTTAGGGTCGAATTGTATAAGCTCTAAGTATATTAGGAGTAGGCCTTAAAGGCCATTCAAGGTAAATTGATTCTAGGCATAGAATTGGCTTATGAATCGAATAACTTGACTAAGAGCGAGACTCTAGCATGACGTAAGATGACTAAGAGCGAGACTCTAGCATAACATGGTTCGAATAAGAGCGAGGCTCTAGCCTAATGTAGATCGACTAAGAGCGGGGCTCTAGCACAATGTAGAATGACTAAGAGCGGGGCTCTAGCACAATGTAGAGCGACTAAGAGCGAGACTCTAGCACAACATAGGACGACTAAGAGCAAGGCTCTAGCACGGTATAATAATAAGGTTGAGCGAGGCTCCATGATGGCTAGTTAATGTAATTGAGAAATGACCCATGACGGTAAAATAACTTACCGAAGGCGATGACAATCGTGACAAATAGTCACGGGGAAACATGGGTGGATGTTTCAAAACGAATATGGGCCACAGGCTGACTATTTGATTTTATATATAAAGTAAGTATATTTTAAAAAAGGGTAACCAGGGGTTATGGCCTATAAAATAATATCACCCTATATTGAGGGTTTTAGAAATTGAAACATTGATTATATTCAGTGTAGTTGCCATTGCACTTTTCAAATGCTTCAAAGTATTGACCTTCCCTTCACGGGGAGGCCACCTTACAGTTTTAGGTAGAACTTGAAAGTTGCTACCAACGTCCGTTGCCTCGGGAAGATCAAGGAGGGAAGACATGGTTTGTACTTCCTCCGTTCCTGTTTTAAAAACAATTATATAAATGCTCATGGATACTATTTTCTGAATAATTATTTGGGGGCTTGTATGCCTAGATTTCCAAGTGTGGCTTGAACACTTGTAATAATGTTTCCGCCGCTTTAATGAATGTTTTCACATTATGTTTGTTTATGGATGTACTATGTGTGAATGATATTCCAGACGCTTTGTATAGTATGGATGTGTTGGACTGCGGTTGACTATTCGTACTCTACAACGAGTTGTTGACGTGTCCGAGTAAGTCCGGATCGTGACATTATAGGTGAGAAAAATTAAGAAGCAAAGCAGCTAGCTATAAAGGAAAAACTAGCGGAGAAAAGATGCAATATTCATGATTTTTACCAACCAGTCAAAAACACCATCCACTGCTATCATAGAGACAAAGAAACATTCCAGAAAATAGTTACTAATAAGGTATGTATTGATCAGATTCTTAAAGTGAGAAAAGGAAAATGTTTCCTAGCCTGGTCTTGAGAAGAAGCACAAAAGCCTGGATGGAAATGCAACAATCCACATTTTGTATGCATGTAACAATGAGAATATGTCCAAAGAACTTGAACTAGAGTTCTTGAAGAAAAAACATACTTGGGTGTCCAAAGACAAGTACATGGCAGTGCCTTGGGCTCTTTTCCAGGGAACTCTGAGCCTTCTAAAACAATTACAAACAAAATCTTTTGGATATAGGAGTAGACTAGCTAGTACTAATTATTTAAGCCTAAGTTGAACAGTTTTTTTGGAGAAGGAGAAATAAAAGAAGTTGAAGTGAAGTGAGATCTCTTATGACCACCTAAGGCTTGCCCAGAAGAAAACACTCTGTTGCAGAAAGGGCATTCATGAATTTTCTCAGCGTTCCCATTTTCCTCTACCTCTGTGGGACCAGAGAGGCAACGGCTGGCCGAGGTGGTGGCTTTGATCATCAACAACTTCTTGTGACTTGCTCTGTGTCCCCCAAGTGCCTGATAAGATCTAAACACTTTTCTGCAACTCCCGCCACATCTGTATTTCATCCTCCTCGTCTTTCCTCCCTCCTTAACGACAACCTCGGAGTTCTCTTCCTTGCTGCCGGACCATTTGTCTCTAGACAACATCATCAAGCAGTAAGCGCCGTCTTCTTCCGGTGAATTTTTAGAGTTCCACCTGCAAAGGTTACACTTGTGCTCCTCCATCTCTAGCTACCAGAGAGTTGCAAAAGAAAAGAAAAGAAAAGAAAAACTAACTTTCTTGTTGTATATCTTTTTGCCTCACTTGAAGTGTGAGTTTTCTTTGGAGTATAAAGAGAGAGGGAACTAAAAGGGAGGGGAGTAGGTGACATGCATTTCTCTTCCCTCTTCACACCAATTGTTACCCAGTGCCTATTGTAGAACCCCACTTTTTCTTTATCTTTTTAATGAAAAATGAATACCTTATGTTGTATCCGCTTGTTAGCCACCTTTAGACTTGTAATCGTTATCAAGTATAAACAAGATTTTCACCAAGTAATTGATCTGAAGATGGTCTGGTCTTTGTGTGTTTGATAACTGTCCAAATAAAAACATCCTTAGTTTTGGAAGAAAATTTTAATCCAAAATCGACCCAAAAGCTCCTTTAATTTCGATTGAAAGATGCTTACTGTTTTTGAAATGAAATTAATAATTTCTATATTGATGAGAAAATTGTATACCAAAAAACTACCATTCATTTTGTAGTAGTCCTATTATTATACTAATATAAAGGCAGCAATAGTGAAACACATACCGAGTATATTGTTGCACAATCAATATCAACAGTGAAATACTACGGACTCCCTCCGCCCCAATTTACTTAACCATCTTTGACTTTTCCAGTCAAAAACGGTAAACTTTGACCAATTATTTAAACTACTCGTAATATATTTATGCAAAATTTAATAATTTTATACTTTTATGATAGTATTTTTAACAAAGAACATTTCCATATTCTTAATACTTTCTCTATATAAACATATAATCGATCAAAGTTTGACTTCATTGACTTGAAAAATCAAGATTGACTAAGTAAAATGGGATGGAGGGAGTATTACTTTTACAATTTTGAAGGACAAACACTTCCACCACACCAAATTAATTGGTACGTACTATATATAGACCTTTCATGTAGTATATATTGTTACAAGCATATATAAGTATTTTTACTGTATAATTATTCAAAAATTGATACAAATACACTAATATATATTCTTTCACACTATCACATATTTCGTCTGAAAATCCCACTCCCATCACTCTTTACTGATGTAACACGGATACTTGACTAGAGTACGTACCATATCAGTGTATCGAAAACGTCCTTGTATCAGATACTTATAAGATATTCTAGGGTACCCGTACTGTACTTTTCTGGCCATATATGCAATTTATTAAAAGATTCCAATTTTTTTGGTAATTATTTTAAAATTTTGAATACACGTATCCTGAAGAATACACATATCAACTTTTATTATAAAGAAAATACCTAAATATTAAATAATAAAGTCTTAAAAAAATTATAAGAACTTTTAGTTTTTTTATTAGAGTATTATTTTCAATCTTCATTGAGAATCTTAATTTCAACCAAGAACGTTGAGTACTTGCACATTTGATTTCAAAATTTTGGTTGCTTGATTTATTTCTAATTTTAAATTAGCTAGTGACTTATTCACTATATTTATATTTCGATATACATTAGTGTATATGAGATATAAAATATGAATTTATTTCTAATTATCTTGATAATGTGAAATACTTGTAATATATGTATATGTTTTTAAAAAGTTCTTGTAATTTTTAATGTTTATAAATACATGTCCATACTTTTTAATATTTATATATACACCCCCATATATAATTTTTAATAGCTTATAAATACACTCCATATCTTGTAATATTTATAAATATACCCCCGTACCCGTATCCTACTTTATTTTTTGGTATTTACGTACCCATTTTTGTGTTCCCGTATAGGTGCTACATAGCTCTTTACTATTGCTAAGCTTAGCATTTGAAGTAGTTGTGCTACATGCAAGATATTTTTTTGATGAGTAACTCATTTATAATTTGCATTAAATTATTTCCGTTAACATAGAATACCGAGCTCTCCCCTATCTATCATTATATAAAAGCAAAAGGTTTTTGACACTATTCTTTGAACAGTGTTCCCTCCCAAAGTCTTAAGGTAAGAGAGTGCATGGCTGGAAATTACTAAAATAGCCCTGATGCAATGTAAAATTGCACAACAATTAATGATGGAAATTAAAAAGTTTCTCAAAAGTATCCAAAAAGAAAAGTTCTGTGCTGATAGGAAGTTACAAGAGAAAAAAGTATGTAAAGAGTCTTCCTCCGTACATGTGCACAATAGAAACATTAAAGAAAGTGCAACAGTGCAACAATACACAGTCTTTACGGCTCCAATCAAATCTGGCCAGGCTTTTTTAGATGCATGCACACTTATGGCCAACCTGTTCCTTGGGGTACGAGTAATATCAGCCAATCAAAATTTGCCAGCCTATTCTTGAGATGTGTATTTTCTTGATAGGAAGATCATTCATTCCCTTATAAATACTACTCTTTCACAGCGCACATTCCACACAATTGTTAACTTCATCTCTTTCTCTCTTCATTCTCAGCCTACAACATGAAAGATTATCATCCCAAACGTGTGTGTAATGTATTATTGACCATTGAGTATTTGAACTCATCATATCAGAACCAATATCTATGATTATAGAATACATGAGTGAAAAATATAGGAATTTACAGATCAGAAAATATGTTGACAGTTCACATCCTTGATAGATTGATGAACATTGAACAATTGATAAGATCAATATTATGGAAGTTGGCTGGGGTAAGATTGTTGATCTGAGATGAAGATCGAAAAAATAAAGGGGGTGTGTTTTCAACCACTCAGCTGATGTATTGTAGAGGATGAGAAGTTGATGCTCCCAAACCATATAAATTACGCCTATATACATAGGTGTTAAGTATTTGCCTATTTCGAGTGTGGTTTGGTGTTGGGTCGGAAGAAAGAGTTTTTGGGCTGGGGGTTACTTGAAGAAAACCCTAATTTTAGGCTGTAAAACTTAGACATACACATACACACACTGACACACTTCACAAGTATATAAATGATATATATATATATATATCAAATTTTGGCTCTAATAAAATTTGCTAATTATGTTTCAAGCTTTTAATATGATATATATATATATATCAAATTTTGGCTATAATGATGTTAGTTATGATATATATACCATAACTAACATCATTTGAATGCATATTTCTTGATGAGAAGGTAAGAAAGTTGATCATTTGAATGTATATTTCTTGATGAGAAGGTAAAAAAGTTGTTAGTATAGAAGTCCAATGTTTGAATTATCTTTAAATTTTGAATAAGGAAAGTGAGACAAAGCATGAATTGCACCTGAATCGTCCATGTTTTCCTATAAATACTAACCTCATTTCAAGTGAACACCATCCAATCCTTCTGCGTCTTTTCTTTCACTTCAGGTTTTGAACCTACAAGCAAGAATATCATCCATATATAGGTGTGTGAGTATAAGCAAACTTGAACAACTGAAAGGACAAAAGCAAATGGGAATTCAACTCCAGAGGACAAAAGGACAACTGAAAGGTCTAGACTTCCTACAATTTCTTGATGACTAAGGAGTATCTTACAAAGAAGCAGGCACCAACAAAGCAATGAGTCTCTCCACTTCCAATCCCTAATGATCTTTTCCTAAATTTTGATAAAAGATCATCAACATTAAACAAAAAACGGAGTTATCTATGTTTTGATTTATTCATGCATTCTATGTTTTTGTGATTCCAGTCATTACTAAATAGACACACACAGTGATACATACACACATACATAAATAAACATACACAGTGATCATTCAAAATATATTTTAAGAATATTAAAGGTTGACTTGGTTGAGGAAATGGATGGAAGTAAATGTTACTCTCAATTTTGATAGCATGGCAGTTTAGATTTCACCTTTTAGGAAACCAATAGGAAACAATAAGCACAATCATATATATGCTGGACAGGTTGTAGATCATATCAGAATTTCAAAATCTGCAATTTCAAAATCCAAACATACTATAAAACATTGATGTTTTAATACAACTTCCAAGAATGATTAGGTATGTCCTAACAGTAATTGATTAGGTATCTATTTGCAAAAATGAGACAATTATGTGTATATTGACAGTGACCTTTAGATATAATAATAGATAGAAAAAGCCTCCAGTAGATAAGGCTAACAATAAATAGGGCTGCCTATAGTACAAAACACCTCCAATTACAAAACAATTATTCCAGTTCGTTCTTAAACATTATTTTAACAGACCATTTATCAATACAGAGTATTATTTTAGGCTTCAACCTTTTCGTTGAATGGCTTATAAAACTTTTACAAATAGAAATATTATTTAAAGTATTATTCATGTTGATATTGGTGATGTAAGGTTCTCAATTGCTTGATTGTTGTATTTAGACTGGGTAAGAATTAGTCTAGGCAATAGATCATTAGAAAATTCCAGAAAAGTCTTCATTTTACAAAAAAATGATATTATAAAGTTAAAATATAGACAGTTAGGCGTAGTTTAAAATATAGGCAATTAGGCAAAGTTAAAATATAGGCAGTTAAGCATAGTATAAAATATAGGTAGTTAGGCATAAATTGATATCTATCTATATTATAAGCTGTGTTTCTTTAGTTGTATTAGTTGTATAGTTAACATTTGTCTTTAAAGTATAGCAATGAGCAATGATTCTTATGGAAGATCATTAATTTTTTCGCTATAAATACCAGCATCCTGACTTCCAATGGATACCCTCGATCCTTTTACCTCTTCTCTTTCAAAGTTTTGAGCATAAGCGAGAATATATCCATGGACAATTATGTGTATATTGGCAGTGACCTTTACATATAATAATAGATAGAAAAAGCCTCCAGTTGATAAGACTAACAATAAATAGGGCTGCCTATAGTACAAAACACCTCCAATTACAAAACAATTATTCCAGTTCGTTCTTAAACATTATTTAACAGACCATTTATCAATACAGAGTATTATTTTAGGCTTCAACCTTTTCGTTGAATTGCTTATAAAACTTTTACAAATAGAAATATTATTTAAAGTATTATTCATGTTGATATTGGTGATGTAAGGTTCTCAATTGCTTGATTGTTGTATTTAGACTGGGTAAGAATTAGTCTAGGCAATATATCATTAGAAAATTTTAGAAAAGTCTTCATTTTACAAAAAAAATGATATTATAAAGTTAAAATATAGGCAGTT